TAATAACTGTGGTTTAAGCACTTTATGATGCTTTCATGTGGCGAAATTTTGTTAATTCGTTTAATTTCAATTTTAACCTTGTGCAAATATTTTTACAATTTTTTAAAAAATTTATTATTTCAAAAGTTCGCTAGAAATTTAATGAGCACAAATTTAAGACTTAAATCATCATCATTATTATAAATGTGCATTTTTAAAATTTTTAAAATATATATTTTTTTAAATTACTCAGCAGCTTTTTACCTTTGACATTACTCTTTCTTACATTAATGTTCAGCTGATTTAAGTACAAAAATGACTGATTTGCAACACTAGAAATCTATCTTACCTCAATTCAACTAAATCAAATTCATACATATTAAGTTTTACGTATTACATATCAGCATCAGCAAACTACAGATAATCAACTCACTGACCTTCACGCAGTCATAACTAACTATTTCACAATCGCATCAACAACACTGTTTTAGATCTAACACCTCAAGTCTACTGCTAAGTTTCCCTTACCCAAGCTGATCTGTTACATTAGAAGGAGAGAGAGATATATGAAGGAGAAGAAGAAGAAGAGTCTTGTGATATAAAATTCATAATTAATAGCCCTCTTCAATTTAATTATTATTTCTCACAAAACGCTTATTAAATACTAAATTCCACTTATGTAGATTATACTAAGAAGAATTATTGATTTCTCATTGATTTCCTAACATGAAAATAATGTCAGTCAGTCAAACAGCCCGACAGCCACCGGTAGTAGCTCAGACCATGACATCACACATCATCAACAGCAGCGCAACAACAGAAGCTATCGTAGAAGCAGCAATGGCAAAATCAATTTCAAATCCACAAATTGCCAGCTAAATAAAGTGTCATAAAGAACAAGTTTAATATTATTCTATCTTTGAATAATAAATATTATGCGCACATATATGCATAAGTTATGTATGTATGTATGCATGTAAGTATGAAAGTAATTCTATTTAATGAGCGCATCACTGGCGCACATGTCACAGCTCAACGAATGCTGAATTGTAGGTACCCATATTTTGTTTGGAAAAAAGTGTTATTTGGTTTGTTAGAAATCAGAGAAAATCAAATCAAAGTCAAATAGTCGAGCAGTAAAATAAAACAAAACAAAAAAAAACTTAATGAATTGAGCTGCGCATTTGACGGGGCTAAGTGTTGACGTGTTGGAAATAAGGAAGTATTTCGCTTGAAATATTTGCCATTTTTCATATATATATATTTTTTTAAATCTTTTTCCAATTTATACGTATTGTTTTTACACTTGTCAACGGCCACACACACACACACATACACATACACACAAACACGTGCAGTAGAATATTTATTTCGTAACGTCTGACATCAATGATCTGCCGATATTTGCATAGAGCGTACATACGTGTATGTATATATTCATATTTTTAGTTTAATATCTGTATTCATAATTTAGCTATTTAAAAAATTTGAATAATTTATGTAATATTGGATTAAAGTCTGTTTCGTTTTAAGGCTTGAAAGTAGCTTTGGTTTCAAAAAAATGCTGGTAATCACATATTTTATATGCAGGAAATTTATATGCCCAATGGCTAATTGATGATTACGAGGCGTAAAAAGGGGTCACTCATAATTTTTGAGGAATTTTTATACACGTCTTATGCGAGGGGAAAGAAAAATATTGTTTTTAAATCATACTGAAACAAATATGGTGGATTTAAAAAATTTCCAAATTTTAATTTTAATTCGGAATTTTTTAAACAATGAAGTAGAACTAAGAAAGTTTTTACTAAGAATTGAAAAAAATAATTATTTCAGATGCTCAGTGAAAATAAAATCTAAGATTTCCACAAATTGCATACGAGTGTTCTTATGTATACATTAATTTATATTTTTCTGCACAGAATAATTTTCAATTTTCCAGTTTTTTTCTGAGTTCACACATTTTCTGATAAGAAATAATTATTATTTTATGTTTTTTTTTTTAAATTTCGATGAGCTTAGTAGAAGCTCATAACTAAAAAGAAGAATTAATATTAATTTTTAATTTGTTTTTTCTTTTAACTTTAAATATATGTATTTTTATATCAATTTTTATTTTTAATTTTCTTGGGCCAAAAAGACTGCCTGGACTCTGATTATTATTCCTAAAATGCCAGTTTAAAAATTTATGTAGATATGAAGAACTACGACCACGTAGTTGGGTAGCTAGATACAGTGGGTGTCTGACGACGCACCTATGTCCTCAGTAGGAACCATCTCTTGTTCTTGATAAAGTTATTTAATCCCAAAAGTTGTATATGTGCCACTGGGAAACCCTTTAATGCTTCTCCTAGAGTGCTTACGCCATTTTTTTTTATTTGAAAAATCGGCATATCCGATCCATATTCCATTTTGACTACATTAGTTCGCTTATTGAAGAAGTCGAAGATCGTTTTCACTGAGACTTAGCAATATCTGTAAGATATCAAATAACGACAAGTGATCTGAGACATATCTATTACCTATCAGAATCGAATAGTTAGCTGCTGCTTAATCTACCTAGTTCAACCGCTTCAAAGTCACATGGCATATCTCTCTGCCTTATAGTATGTTGGGAATGTTAGCCCTATAATAGGTCAATACTTTCTTTCACTATCTTTGATGAAATCCTACCAAAGGCCATCTGTGTCTGTGTCTATAAATAAATTCCTGTTGTAGGTACCCACTTTGCTAGTACCAAAAAGCTTCCTTTAATAACAGTAACCACCACAGCAGTGTTCTGGTAGGCGTAGGACAATTCTGATTTCTATTTTTGCTGAAAAGATGCCCCATATCACGTGATTATCTAGTTAAATCCGCCCGTATATATATCTTTTTGCCATTGTGCTCCTCATACCTATCCCACTTCACTCTGTAAGGCAAGCAATTGTCGAATTTAAATTAAACTCTAAAGAGCTCCGCAAATCAGTAGTTTTCGGTAGAACTAAGAACTTATTTATTAAGTATATTATAAGGTCTCTTATCACATTTAACTATTAGGAAGTATCCACTCAGTCCAAGTTCTAAAGTTGCTGTCAGCTGCTTGCAATACAAGTCTATGGACTGTAAATATATTACAACGTCTTGTGCCGACTTTTTCTATACTTTACTTTATATTTCTTTTCACTATTTGCCACTATAGTTATACATATATGGCATATCATAGAACCAACGAATTTTACGAGGCGGTAAACTCATTAGAGTCTCGGCATTCTTTTGCAGGTATAAGGTGCCATAACAGTCTTCTAGAGCCCACTGCTCTGCATATCGCTGAAATTATGAGCTTGCCCAGGAGCGGTGGTATCCAGATTTTTAAATGCTCTTCTTACGATTTTTGGCTGAATGTTAGTATGAATGTCTTAAATGTCAAAAAGGCTATATATGCTTCAATATCTAAGCTTTCCATAGCAATACCACTAGATTAGAGTAGAAAGTAATAGTTGACATCAAAAAACAAAAGCATTAACGGCTAAGGAGGCGATCAGTTTTATCCACAGGAGATACTAATTTGAGCCGAAAATCTCAACATTCTCCCTCATATGGACATTATTACGTACGATTATTCATTCCAGCACACTTGTTGCATATTATCACTACATTCGTTATCAGCATCTTTTGATCTCATTTAAAACTTTTAATCTCATTTGTTCATGCACAAAACGATCACACATCTACATGCGCATTCACATATATTTGCTATACGTGAAATATATTTTTTTATGACCGAAAAAAATTTTTTCCAAACCACAAACGTGTCCATAATAAATTTTAATTTTTACGACTTACTCGTTATAACTGTTTTGTTGGTGTTGTTAGTAGCTCAGACAAAGTTTTATTGCTGATTTTCATACGGATTTGTATGGTTGTGTATACATTTGCATTGCCAAATATAGTTATGCCTAACCAGAAGTTAGTAATATACATTTCTACTCCAAATAAGTATGTAAATATATATTTGTTTGTATTTTTGTGTAGCCAAACTAGCTTAATAATTTTATTGTTAACTTTTTTTGGTTTGGTTTTGGTTTTAGGAGGGCTTTTAATTTTTATCATTTGTCAGCGGTTAACACGTCGAACGATTTGTGTGCGCTCGTAAAAATTTAACAAATAAATGTCACTCAGCCTGGGGGGCAGATAGATAAGTAGCACCTGAAATTGGGGGACCACCAAAAATGTGCGCTGTTAAGTGAATTCATGTATATATGCGCGTATTCATATAAATACGTGGAATTTATGAACATAAGTTCATGTGAATAAAATCGTACTAAATATTATATGTAAGCGAACAATGTGTGTGGCGACACAGTTTAAGTGAAATCTCAGTTATGGGCATGAGTGACCGCAATGTTTTTGGCCGCATTTGCGTTATGCGCGCTTTTCATAAATGCGTTTTGGCGCCTGATATAATGCATTTATTATTTTTTTATGTCCTTCAGAACTTCAATTTCACTGATAATAACAGTTTTTTGCCTAAGCGATTGTTTTCAAAAATTTTAATTACAAAAAAAACTAAAAAAATTAGGTACAATAGTATAAAATAAAAATAAAGAAATAAAGTAAGACACAAAAATAAAAAAGTATTAAAGAAATGAACAAAATGAAATAAAAAAAAAAATAAAATAAATTAAAATAAAATAATATAAAATAAAATAAAACCAAAAAAATAAAATAAAATGAAATAAAATAAAATAAAATAAAATAAAACAAAATAAAATGAAATAAAATATAATAAAATGAAATTGTATAGAACAAAACTAATAGAAATTAGTTTCAGTAAAATAAATTAAATAATAAAATTAATTAAAATCAAGCACAAAAATAAAATAAAACAAAAATATTAAAATTAAATTAAATAAACAAATGCATAATGAGGAAGAAAGTTATATAAATAAAATAAATATTTCTTAATAAAATATTTTTTTTTAAATGTTCAGTAAGAAATAAACCATTTTGAAGTGAGAAACCCTGTGGCACGAACTTACCGCATAAGGATTATCCTGATTCATCATTGCAACGGCCGTTTGAGTAGATTACTTTTGATGGAAAAAACTGAAATAAAAAAATTAAATATTCATACTTAATTGTAAAGACATAACAAATAAAATTGTATGATATTTTTTTTTACTTTGGCAGCTTTGTCGAATTATTATTTAGTACCATGTTTTTATTTTACCATCTTTTTTATATAAAAATCCTATGTCCGTTTGGAAAAATATAGCAATAAAAAAATTCTCTGAAAGTTACAGACCGAGTGTCAGTTTGTTCTACGTTTTCTGGGAAAGTTTAGAAGAAAAAAATATTTCGGGAAGTGGATCCGGAACTGGGTTATTCGAAAAAAACTCATATGTCTGTACGAAACGGATGTTCTCTAATATTACTGACCGAATGGCTTGAAACCTTCTGAAAGCATTAGGGACTTGACCTATTTCAAGAAATTTTATTTATGATTTAATTAACTTGAAGCACCGATTAACAGGAAGTTCACACTTCTCTCCGGAGAGTGGACCAATGTCAATGGTAAAACCAAAAACGTTGTATTCCCACAAGTATTGAGTAAATAGAGCTATGACAAGGAGATGTTCCATGATTATTTTTTCTTGCATTCAATGAGTATGTGCTACAGCGAAGAGCTGCAGGTTACAGCTGGAATAATATAAAATAATATTATAAATTTATATTGTTTTTCAATATATTTCATATTACAAAAGCAACTGAGCATCCGCTTTGGTGAATATTGCTACGTAAATTTCGCATATAACGACATATTATTGAATATTTATTTAACAAGTGACCATAAACCCGATTGTCAAGTTCATGCAATGAAGAGTGGCAATCAACAAGAGCAAGCAGCAGTACTCAAGGTACATGCATACATAAAGAGGTAAAATAAAAAAAATAAAAATCGAAATAAACCACACAACGGCAGCTCTGCTTTGGTTCTACTTAATACTACACACGGAGTAGATTAATAGCTGTAACAAACAAGCAATATTTCGCTTAAAATAACATCTTTACAAGCGCGATGTTTTTACAGTAGATTTTACCATTGTCAATCGCTGCTGCTAGTCAGTTTAGGTAAAATATGACTGTGGAGCTGCACATACATTCATCTACAAACAGCTTGACAACTTGTGGCTGCACCCAACCAAACTTGGCTCTGTGAATGCTATAAAAAAGTAAAGTATAAAGTAGAACAGCGGCTGTGAAGGCAGAAGCAACTAAATGTAACTCGGCATAAATTGCGAGAAAAAACATTATATTCTTGCGGACAAAGAAGCTGCGATTGCCAAATGAGTAGAACCAAAAAAATTGACTATACTATTTGGAGGAAAAATTGCAATCGGAATAACAATTTAATATGCTCAAAGCGATGAGCTGCACCCACTCCAGATAATAAAAATAATAAATAAACAAAAATAGTTAACTGTATGAGCAAGTAACTTTGCTGATGGGTACGGTGGCCAAATTTTGGCAAATAAAATGTGAAAATTCAATGTTGTTTTGTGGTATTTGGATTGTAGTTTGTTGTTTTGCACGGTGGTAACATTTTCGAAAATAATCTGAAAATTTTAAAATTTTGTATTTCTGTACTTTTTTATGCTTTAGTTTATTGTTTTGTAATTTAGTGTTGACCTTTGCAGTTTGTAGATTTGTAGTTTGCCGCTTTGTAGTCTATTATTCATTGCTTGGTTCTATACTTTTATTGTTTAGTTTTGAAGCTTATGTTCTATAATTTTGAAGCTCTTAGTTTGTTGCATGTAGTTTATAATTATGTGCTTACAGAATTGTAGTTTTGTAGCATATAAACTTTTAGCAGCTTGGAGTTTGCAGTTTTGTAGTTTGTAGTTTTTCAGTTTGTAGTTTAGTAGTTGGTAGCAGGTTGTTTGTGGCATGTGGCTTATGTGACAGTTTTATATTTTGTGGTTTGAAGTTTTGTAGTTTGTTTCTGTAGTTTATAATTTTAAGTTAATAGTTTGTTTATTGCGGTTTCCAGTTCGTTGTATCGTCCTTTGTAGTTTGCAGTTTTATAGTTTATATGTAGTAATTTTGTAGCTTATAGTTTGGTAGCTTATAGTTTTGTAGTTTATAGTTTTTTAGTTTATAGTTTTGAAGTGTGTAGTTTTTTAGTTTTAGTAGTTTTTCAGTGTTACAGTTTGTAGTTTTACAGTTTTCAGCTAGTAATTTTCAAGTAAGAAGTTTGTAGTTTTGAAGTTAGTGGTTTTGAAGTTAGTAGTTTTGTAGTTTATAGTTTTGAAGTGTGTAGTTTTGAAGTTAGCAGTTTTGAAAATAGTTGTTTTGAAGTTTGTAGTTTTGAAGTGATTAGTTTTGAAGTTAGTAGTTTTGAAAATAGTGGTTTTGAAGTTTGTAGTTTTGAAGTGATTAGTTTTGAAGTTAGTAGTTTTGAAAATAGTTTTTTTGAATTTAGTAGTTTTGAAGTTTGTAGTTTTGAAGTTTGTAGTTTTGAAGTTTGTAGTTTTGAAGTTTGTAGTTTTGAAGTGAGTAGTTTTGATGTTTGTAGTTTTGAAGTTTGTAGTTTTGAAGTTTGTAGTTTTGAAGTTTATAGTTTGCAGTTCGTTGCTAGTAGTTTGTACTTTGTGGATTGTAATTTGCAGCTTACAGCTTGAAGTATGAAAAATATAGTTTTTAATTTGTAGATTTTGGTTTTATATAATATTTTGTAGCTTATAGATTGCAACTTGAAATTTTGGAACTGGTAGCTGACAGTTTGTATTTTGTAGTTAACAAAAAGAGAAGTACAGTACCTTCAGCAGAAAAAGATGTAAAAATAGTAATGGACAAAACGTTGCAAAGTGTTGTAGAAAAAGTAGTGAAGTTGGTTATAAAATAATTTATATTATCTGATCTGTAAAAATAGTAGTAGAAAAGCTAGTAATGTAGTTAATAGCAAATATTGTAAAAATAAAATAGATTCCAAATTGTTGCAAAAATGGCATAAAAAATAGTAGTAGAAAAAGTAGTAAATCTACTAGTAGAAAAGGCAGCATAATATAAGGTAGAAAAAATTTTCCAATAAATAATGCTGAAAATAGTAGTAGAAAAAGTAGTAAAATTAGTAGATAGGCAGCATAATATAAAGTAGCGTTAAATTTGTAATAAATAATTCTCACAATAGTAGTAGAAAATTTAGTAAAATTAGGTTTGAAAAATTGATCAATTCCCCATTTGAAAAAAATTATTTGAAAATTTCTAAAATTTCAAAAGCTCCATGCACTGTGCGCACCTCACACGCGTCAAATGTGCTGCTAACTCGCTCGAGCCATATGCGGCAAAATAAATGTTTGCATTGTTTACAATAATTCCTATTGCATTTTTTCTCTAGCCTCAACTCAACGCTGCTAAATATACAGTTCTAACTAAAGCAGCGTGGACACACATAAGTATACAAGCAATAATAACAATAAAGTACAACTACAAAAATAAGATGTTGCAAGCATATGATTTTTTATTATTATTTAATGCAGTTGCTTGCGCAAAACTCACTTTTAAGCACAAGACCAGCATACATACAAACTTTTTAAGCATACTGTAACTGCATAAGCATCACAGTATTTATACATATGTACATATGTATAGACATTTATATGCAGATGCATTGCTTGAATGCCAACAAAAGTCTGCAATGGCCAGCCCGCTTGGCACTTGTTAAACAAAAACAGGTGTTTGCAACAGCTGGTTGAGCGTTTTACTTATTTAGCACCGAAAAAGGAAACAAACATGCAACAACAACAACAAAATATAGAAAAAAAAATTAAAAAATGTGATGCAAAAAATGAGCTTTCACACTTTTTTGCGCGTTACAATGCATACGCTGAACAATAGAAGTGAGATTTTTTTCCAGATCTTTTTTTACCTCATTTTGACTTTATTTATTTTTTTCCTAAAACACACACACAGCCATATACATATATACATCCCAGCAACATCAACAAGTACCCAAGCTAGTAGAGCCTCAAGGCTGACTTACATTCATATCGCACACGCTGACTGAGGTCTGAGGTGGCATCTGCCCAACTGTATACAAACAATAATAAAAGCAACAACGACAACAAAAATTTAAAATAAAAAATAAATAAAACAAAAAATTGTGCAAAAAGCGCTGACATGGAGATGAAACAGAAAAAATAACTATGGCGTTACAGCTGTAGATAGAGTTGCGCTGATAAATGCATACAAACATCCATATATACATACATAGTATGTTTGTATTTTACAACTGCAATTGTTCTTTCATATGTGCGCTCATACTTGTTTACATTTAAATGCATCCGCAACTATATTCACATACATAACAACATACATACTCTTATATGCAGCTAAAAGTATGCTTGTTAACTTACATAGTTACATACATACACGTGTATATACATAGACACATACTTCATACATGTGTTCTCACTTGCTTGCTTGAAGAATAATTTGCATAACATTTTATGTAGACTCGCAAATCGCAGCTAAATAATATCACTATATACATGGCTACATACATGTACTCGTACATACATACGCACATACACATACATGCAACTTGGCATCGTTTGCGAGCCAAAACGACCTTGACTTGTTAATTTGCGGATGAGTGATGCTGGTTAAGAAGAAGCGTCTACAAAAACAGCAACAGAAAATAAAAAATAGCGTGAAATGAATTAAGCAATGCGAAAAAATAATGAAATGTTAAGTCAAAGTGGGAAAAATGAAAAAATGCAAAAAAAAAATTATAAAAATTAAAGATTAATATAAAAAAAATGTACATGAAGTACATAAAAAATGCTTTCCCATATTATTTAATAGCACAATATAAAAAAAAATAATAAAACGAGTGAAAGCTCAGCTGAGAAAACATTTTCATTCATTTATTTAATTTTTTTTAAGGCTTTAACTAGAGCTCCTTAATTTCTGTTGGTGTATACACTACTGCTACATTTCCAATTAATAATATTTTCTTTTACAATTGCTCTTTGCTGGCTGTTACTGTTCGCTAAATTTTTCTACTACTATTTGCTACTACTATTTTTTACTACTTTTTCTACTACTATTTTACAAATTTTTCGCCACTACCCATTTATGTATATTTTACTACTACTATTTTTCACTACTTTTTCTACTACTATTTTAAAAATTTGTCGCCACTACCCATCTATGTATATTTTACTTTTACCACCTTTTCCTGCTACTATATTTCTCTGCTATTATTTTGCTACTTTTTCTACTACTATTTTTGCTACTACTTCTATAGCTACTTTTACCACTTTTTCTAATACTATTTATTTACACTTTGCTGTATAGAGATAACATGACTATAAAAGAATATGGCAAGTAGACGGAGGAAATGGAATTGATTCCGTTGCCAGTATGTATTTAAAATATTACAATTTAGTTTTTGCTCTATGAAACGCAATCGTTACTTATCGCTTAACCACCGACTACCTAAAGAGCGTCGAAAATCCTCCGTACCTCACTTTCTGTTAATCTACAAGATATGACAATTAAGTAATGAGACTGATTCCATAAAAACCGCATAAGCCCATATTATTTTACGACTCTGACATGCCCTTCAAAGTAGTCCCCTTGGGCATGTACGACGATTCCAGCACGTTTTCTATGCTTCGTCACATTACTGGAACGCTTCGACTGAGATGTCCACGAACAGCCAAGTCACAGGGTGACATATCGGTCGAATAAGGCGGTTGTTGCAACCCAGCGATACCTTGAGAGGCTACAGGATACAGCAGGCGAACTAAACAAGCTAGATGACAAATATATCAATGGAGAGGGGAAGGGTGCCGGCCGAAGGGAAATGACTAGCAGAGTTGTTCCAGTCTTGATCGTTTCTATGTAGCAGTTGTTTTCTAACGCTCTATTGACAAGCCGTAAAATTTACAAATCCCGTAGAAAGATTGAAAAAAAAATTTATTATTTGAATAATTTGACATTCTATTTAAAATTTTTGAAAAAGTTTTATTTTTGAAAAATTAGTATATTTTTTAATAAATTATTAAAAAAAACACATAACAAAAAAAAAAAAATATTTGAATATTTGCACTTTTGTGGAGAATATATAATTTATTTTTCAAAACCGCTAAAATAAAATTAAAAAAGAAAAAAAAATGGAGCTTTTATTATAGTAGTAATCTGAATGGATTTATTTGCATTTTAAAATCACAGAAATAAAATTTATATTTTTTTCTAATTACGCGCACCTTTCAATTGCTACGCTAACATTTGTTTTGCTTGTAAATTATATTTCTCAATGTCAAAGTCAATAAGGAAATTTCATAAATAGAATTACTTTCATACCCATAAGCTTTAGCAATCTTTTTCGCTCATATTATATATTAACTGTGTACTATTTACTGCGAACTATATTTAAATACACTTGAAGCGATTGCGTCTAAAGACTGACGGTACATATACGTATGTATAAACAAAGTATAAATTAACTGACACTCCTCAAAGTTGAAAAGTATTAGGAAAAAAAGGTGAAAAGAAAATTGTATTCTAAAAGTGCATTAGCATAGAAAAAAATAATAATAAAATAGATAAATATTAATAAATATGTAATATGCCTACCAAGATCATCAGTTAGACTACTAGATGACGAGCAATATGAATAAAACTTCCATATTTATTTATTTTATGTCAGTGTACTGCTGTTTGTGAGAATAATATTTTCGCTTTCAACTATAAATCACATAACCAAATCGAAATAATTTAGTAAGGTACTTTCATGTACATACATATGTATGTACAAATCACACAAATCAATAGAGCAACGCTTATTTGCATGCTATGTTGTTTTTGTGCAATAGGAGAAATAGATAAATAATAATATTTATGGAATTTTTTGTAAAACTTTATTTCTAAATTATTTATTTATTATTTAAAAAAAAAATTTTAATTTTTTTCTATTTTCGTTTTTTATTTTTTTTTTTTATATTTTTTTTTTCATATTTTTTTCTTTTTTCCCATAATTTTTCTCTATTTCGACTAAGTATAAATTTATATATTTGCAATGCACACAGATACAATGCAATATGTAAAAGTGTGTGTTTTTACGCTTTACTAATGCATTTGAGCGATATTTCTCAAGTCAACAACAACAGCAACACATTCATTAAACTGCGTTTAAATGTCAAACAAACTGTTACGACGAATATGTATGTATTAAAACATTCCGTGCACACGTGTACCCGCATAAGCGCATTTTGTGTGTAAATAATAAAAATGGCGGCCGGAAAATTGCACAAAAACTAAATAATAAATAGAATAGATTGTAGTTGCATGAGCACAAGTAAAATAGCATGCGAGTTATATGTATGCATGTCAACTATAATTTCTAACAAATTTTATTACACAATTGAATTGGTTGAAATATATCAGAGCATTTTAGGAAATTATTTTTAAATTACTATTATAAAAAAAAAAATATAAGAAAAAACAGCATTTCAAAATAAGTTCATGCGTAGATAAATGTGGTATTAAAACTCCATTTAACAAATGAGACAACTAAATACATTCTACAGGGGTTTACCAAACTGGATTAAAAGTGTAGTTATTTGGAGATTTTTCTATGTTAGTGAGATCTAGCGGAAGCATTGTTTCGAAGTGTAATGTGTGTGTATATATATTTCAAATATTTTGGCGCCATCTGGCGGAAAAAATACTATAGAAAAGTATATTTTTTGTAGTTTCGCTTGCTTCAAGAAAATTTAAGAAGTTTCCCCACAGACGAATTAACAATAATCTTTGAGGTATTATCGCATTCCTTTTGTTCCGGTTTCTATATAGATGCGAAACAAGATGTGCTCTTTTTTCGATCTTAAGTATTTTATGAATATGCATTAAAAATTTCGCAGAAGACGCTATGGCAAACACTCGTAGGAACTTATTTCCATTACTTTTGAGCTCTGCAGCCTTTTAGCAACAACATCCGAAAGTTATAGAAAATTCATTGAAGTAAAAAATTAAGTTAAATTTTATAATTGCGGTCGCCCCTCGATGGATAATGTCAGCCCCGTCAGGTGCATTTCTCTCATGAAATAAAGGCTCCTCATGAAAAATCCATCAGCCGTTCGGCAGAGAAACGACTTTTTAAAGTAGGTGTGACGAACTCCAAGGCCAAAGATATTACTTTTAACTAAAATTCAATACAATAGTAAGCATTCTATGATTTTATTAAGGGCAGAACTAAAATCAAGGTATTTTTTTATTTCAATTAATAAAATGGAAATATTCACACAAATTTACTTATTTGAAATATTAGAAAAAAAAATTAAATGTAATAAATATTTACAAAGTATACAAACGAATGAAAACTACATTCATCTGCCGTATAAAAATGTTTTGGAAAAGCGCCAGGTAAATTTTTGTTTTCAAAAATTACTGATTAATTGAACGATGTCAACTGTGGGTGAGCTGAAAAATTCTGCATTCAAAGAGATTTTAGTTTTTACAAACGAAAATAAGTTTAACTTATTTTAAACAAACTGATCGGTATCGAAATCCCCATTGAAATGAGTTTGAAGAGAACGAAATAGATGTTAGACAATCAAATCTATAAGCCAGTTGTAGTGCAAACCTGTGTACTTTTAGTTCTCGCATGAGACCTATTAATTTTTGATGAATGATTAAAGTGACCAGGCATTCGAAAAAAACCCTTAACTTGCTTACCCACCACACGGAGAACAATATCTTCTTCCGAAATTGTATGCCAATACTTAGGTTAATAATAATTAAAGCTGTCGCTTTCTTTATGGATGAGTTATTGTAACCAACAGCTAATACTATTCCTAAAGAAGGGTTCTTTTACAATTTAATTTACAATTTAAGTAATGCCTAATTTATTTAAAAAAGTAGTTCTGTCTACTGTCGAATAGGACTTGAGATAATAATTCAATATTTGGCAGGCACATTTCTTCTTTTAGAGCTTCTTCCCAGTTTAATATAGAATTAGTCTTCAACTGTTATTAACACTAGTACCAAATTAGAGCCTCTATTTTGTACAACCTTTTTTCTTAAGTATTCCTGTCAAATCTGCGTTGAAGATTTATTAAGGCTAATGCTGGATAACTTTTTAAGAATATAAAAATGCTTGGGAAAAGTTGTATTCGAAGCTGTGGAATAGCCGCTAGCTTCACCTTCCACTAACTTGATTAACTAGTCTATACTTCTCCTATGTGAGCTTAGCAGGTTGCTGTTTGACAACTGCCTCTTTGTGAAGTGTTTGATAACTTTTAAGCTCCTCTATTTATTATACCAAAAAGTAATCTTTTTGACATTAAATATTTGTCAGGATTTAATATCGTGCCGTCTCTGATGCTAAAAGAAAATTCGTGTTGGAACATTAGATTTTTTTTTTGGGACTTAGTGCACCTAACCTCAAAATAAGTGATGCAGTTCCAATGGGGCATTCTAACTGCTGAAGTGATTTTCTCCAGCATGTGGTTTGAGACATGATGTTTTGCTAAGTCGCCTCGGAACGTTTGATGGTCTTTTTGTGAGGATCTGTTTATTTTATGTCAGAAATACACTGTATATTTCTCATGTTAAACATAAATATATGAAAAAGGTAAAAGTATATATTAAAAAATGAAATGACGTAAAAAAGCAGATTCTAGAAATTCTAAACTGATGCTTCTTCTTTGCGAGTCTTTGACTTTCATTCTATTGAGTCATCATATCTGCCACGTTGCCCACGTACGCAGAGTTGGACGATATGGAGATGCTAGTCTTTAAGAGAACTATTGCTGAGGACTTTCTTGGCATACGCAGGGAAGTAAAATTTGCCTGCTAAATTGAGCGTATGCTGGTGGCTGTCCCTTAACCTCCTCTATCATCTTTCTAACAAATCGATTGACCAATAGCTGATTTATTACTACTATTTTATTGCTAAAAAAACTTAATTAGTACGCTACATTACAAAATTTATACATACATACCTTATATATAGCGCAGAGAGCTTGTTATTGAGCTTCCGAAAAAATTATCCGCAGTTTTTCCGTGCTCTTTAGCACTTTGTCTGTTATGATAACTGTCCATGAGATAATATATATATATATACCTTTTTTTTTAATATTAAGTTTATTATTAATTTAAAATTGCTCACATATTTCTTTAAAAAAACCGTTTCTAATATTTTTATTTTTTTTTTGCTCTTTTTTTTTGAACGAATTTGGCACTAATTGCGAATTCTTACTGAATTTTATGTCTTTTTTTTGCTTTCCTCTTTTTTATTTATATTTTTTTAAACATTGACAACCGCGACGCATTGATTTCAGAACGTAACTGTCTGCGCATTATGTAAGCACACAATGTTTATGTTGTCACTTCCAGTCAGAAAATTTTCGTTGAGAAGTTGCGTCTGCGTCTGCGCCTGCGCCTTTGACCTTTCGCCTGCAATTGGCCACGCTTAGCTGTCTGTTGTACGCATTGCCTTGGTATTTTGTAGTTTTTAACGCAGACTTTTATGATTTATTACTTAATTTTTTTGTAGTCAATATAGTCAGGGCACTTAGTTTTTTTCCCGTCTAGTTGGTCACGCAAGCAGATAATTTTTTAGTGACTTCCAGGTATTTTGTGTGTATGTGTGTGTGTGTTTTTTTGGCAAGTAAAAAAGTCGACAATTGATTTTTATGAAACGCTGTCAATTTGTTTTCTGAATATTCAGCATTTTTAACAGCATAATATATATATATGTGTGTGTGTCGAAGTGTAGAAAATTGGAAAATGTGTGTATTTTAGAGATGTTTCTTTTTTTTTTTGCAATTTTTGCAATTTTTGCAATTTTCGCATTTTGCACTTCGGCACTTTTACTTTGCAGTTGTCTCTTTAGTTGTTGTTATTTGCTATAATTTATGGCTATGGAACTTATTGCTTTTCACTTTATGATACTTTTAATTTAGTTTTTTTTTCTCAAATTTTTTATAACGTTTTCGCTTTTACGCAATTTTTGCACTACGCCGTGATTGCATTACGTTGTTGATCTAAAAAAAATATGTATATATGTGTGTGAGTATTAGAAGCGCACACCTTTATTGGTAGTAGATTGTTCAAGTTGCTGGCAGCAAAGGTGTTGTCAACAATAAAAAAAAGTTATTTGGTAAATAGTGCATACATGCACATACACACCTAACGCCAGGTAAATATGTGCAGTGTGTTATGAAAGCATCACCAAGTTGGCTTTAAAGCCAGTAGACTATGACAAGTCGGTTAGTCTTTCTGGTGCGATGACAAGTGTATTGGTTTGCTTAGTTTGTTTACCTGCGCATTTGCATACATATATGCGTAGATATGTGGGCAAATTAGTATTTATGTAAATATATTTGCGAGCATGTATTTGTTTTGTTCAATTTCTTTTCGTGTTTTTTTCTTTCTTTTATTGAACTTAAGTGCAAGGTGTGCTCGTAGACATTACTCGCTTGCAATGGAGCGTTAAAAAAGTCGCTGTGAAGTGCGAGGCTTGCAGTAAGGATTTTTTTTTAATTTTTAATATTTAATATTAAAAATTTTTTTATTAAAATTTTCATTTATTCTTTAATGCTATTATTATATTTTTTTGGAATTTCAGTATGTTTTTATTAAGACAAACACTTTTATTGATTTTACAATGGTTACCTGTTTTGTCACGTAAGTGTTAATTACATCTAACATAATATTTAAAATAATTAAATTTAATGTTTTCAAAAAAAAACTTATTTTATTTTAAAAATTTTAATAATTTTGCTATTATTTACAGTCTAAGATTTTTAATATTTTTATTATTTAAAAGGTATTATTTTTTTATGTTATTTTAATTATTTAAAATAATTTTTACCAAAAAAAAAATATTTTATTATAAAATATCAGTCATTTTGCCATTACTTACAACTTAAGAATTTTAATAGTTTTGTTAAATGAAAGGTTAAAATATTAATGTTGTTGTTTTTTAACATGCTTCCTGAAAAAAATATTTTTTACGAGATTTGAATAGCAAGTTCGCTGCTTAAGTCTTTTGTCAGCATGGGCAGTATATTTTGTATAATTTGGGCTGTCCAAAAGAATTGAAAACATTCAACTAATTTTAAAACTTAATCAAAAAAATAGAATAAAATTACTTTAAAAGACACACACAAAATTGGAAAAAAATTATTTCGCAATTTATGCCGGTTTCTGTTAATTACTCTAATTGGATTGCATACTAAAAAATATAAAATTCCAAATATAAATATTTTTCCTTATTGATTTTATTCCTATTTTAAAATATATTTGTATTTTATTTCTATTATTAATTTTCATATTTTTAACGCTTAAACAGTGCATTAGCCGGCTAATTGGTGCACATAATAAATTTCCCAGTCTTCGCACACATTGGTGCAGTTCCGCTGCTTTGCTGTCGCTGCGCCCACTTAAGGGCTAACCTTTGTTATCGAAATTAGCACACATACATACGCACACACGCATGCACGCACGCGCGCAGGAAGCAGAATGAAAGGCATACAAATAGAAGCTTTCATTAATATTTACGTACATAAGGCTCAAAAGCACACTTCAACACCGTTATTTATAGTTTATAAAAAAAAAAATTATATGTAAACCGTCAACACTCGTTAAGAAAATAGTTTTTCAAAAATTTTCTTTTAATTTAAAATTTTAAAATTTTTAACGAAATTTTCATTTGCCGTCGTCGTTTCATTTACCGGCTCACAATGTTGATATAACTGTTTTGTATTGCATGCTGCTTGTTGTGTGTCTCTATGCCGTCGTCGCCGCCGCTAAACGAACGTATTGTACTGTTGTTGATCGTCGTGGTGCGCGTCGTTAACGCGTCGTTTTGTCGTTTAACTGAACAACGAACGAACGATCGAACGAACCAGCATGAAAGAAGCGCGAAGTACCACTAAAGGCGAATATCGTAAAGGTATTCTGCAAAGCAATCAAAGCGGCAGCAGCAGCAGTAGCAGCAGCAGCAGCCGTAGCAACACATGTCATGCCACAGAGACGCACACAGAAACAATTTTTGAAATATTAAGAAGATTAAGGCATCCAAAAGCCTATAACAAACCGGTGGTGGTTATGGTGGTGGTCGTGCGGGCCATGGATAGCTGGTAGGCTGGCAGGCAGATAGACAAGCAAGCGAACAATTGGATGCGCTTAGCTATTGGACGTGTATTGGTAATGTGCAAATCTGAGAAGTAGCATTTGGCTGGTAGCGGCAGTGGTGGTCAAGATCTGTCGCTAGCAGCTAAGCTGAGGAAGTAGTAATGCCGCAGTTAAGGGAGGCAGATCATTGGATGCTGTTACAGTGCATTTGCTTTTAACTGACATTATGTTTCAACGCAGTAACAGCGCTTCAGCGGGAATTTCTACACGTAGAAACAGCGCTGTTTATGTCACTGCAAACAACAACAGCGTATGCTAATGCTAACTAAGGAAGTTTGAAGTGTGTTAATGTTAACAGCTTTGCCGGAATATGTTAAACAAATGTTAGATTTTGCTTTAAAAAATAAAATTTCTGTTGACCTGATAATAGCAGCAGTTAATGTTAACAGCAGCAGTTAATGTTAACAGCAGCAGTTGATGTTAACAGCAGCGACGATAATATTTACGGATATGCTGTTAATTTAAAATGAATGAACTAAAATTTAATGGTTCTAACAGAATATGCTAATGCTTTGCTCTGCTAATGCTAATTTAAACGAATTGTTATGTTAATATTTGTAGACATAACATTTGTTACAGTTTTTATAGTATTTCGTAGCAAGTGCGCTGTTAAAGTATTTTATTAACATAGAAAGTATATTTTAAACAATATGGAGCTCTTAAAAATATTTAAAACTCATAATAAATTCAGAAATTTAATCAATATAAAACTGAAATAAAACAAAATAAAATATTTGTTTTCTTTGCTGGTGATTAGAAGAAATATGTCACTTGCAAGACCAAAAATACGCCTCTAGGGAACCGTCGTCTGTCCATTAATCGCTTTCGCATTACCTCAAGTTGGCATTCCACGTTTCTCGTTTCGATAAATACATCTCATCATCTGCCTCCAGGTATCGTTCATACTCTACGTAGACTGCTACATATGTATTTCCCTGTTTGCGATGTTGTACGCATTCAGGGGTCCTACCAGGCTCTCCACTGACTCTCGTACTTTAAAAATGTGTGCTCGGCACTGTCTTTGGTAGTGGCAGCACGGTCCTTTTGACTTATGTAAGTATTTCCAAAAGAAACCATTTTCGTGTAACCGTGATGATGTCTGATTTCTATGTGACTAGAATTTCACATTCTTAATTAGCCCAGCCGTTGATCTGCCGCAAGTTTCTTTTGCCTAGTGACTTTGTCATCGGTTGTACGTTTCTAGTTTTACACATATTCCTTGGTTAAGTCCCAGATTTTCAGATTATCCTTCGTTCGAGTGCTTAATAGAAACACTTGTGCTTGTAACTAGAACAGCTTCACCTCACACTACACGGCATGCTGACGTTACATTTAATCTGGCATCAGTTACTTCTTTTTAAAGTGTTCGCCCATAACCCTGCTCCATAGAGCAGAAGCTATAATCAACTTTTCTCTCGCGTGGATCCTACGCTGTTGAACCTGAGCCTGTTAAGTTGTGTTGTTAAGTTATTCTTGAATCTTATCTAATGCCTAAAAAGTTTATAACCCTGCAGTACTTCAGATTTTTGGATAAAGACTGCATGTTTATTTCTGACAGGCTTCTGTGGCTGGTTTAGGACGACATGAGTGCAGTCGCTTCATAACCTGGTTTAGTTTTCTTCGCTCGGCTTCGATGTTATGGGCAGTTATTACCGCTGCGATGTCATTTTCATAACCAGCTTGGTATGTGCCATCCGTCAATTGGGGATTAAATATATCGTTTTTAGGTGCATTCCATAGACCATGGCCGATTACCGATCCCTATTCTGCACCTCACATGATCTTTAGACTTCTAGGGCCATATGTGGTTTGGTATGGGAGAGCTCTGCTTATTCGATAGCTTCCTAGCATTAAGCTTATGTATTTGAGAATATGAAATTGTTTTCCAATGCTCCGATAATATCTTTCCATTTGACACTGTTAAAGGCATTTCGGGCATCTGACGTGGCTAAAATCACTATCTTTTCATATATTATAAATATGTGGAACCTTAGAGAGAGAGTTTCACGTTTCTCGCAACGTTCCAAAAGGCGCCTAGTATCAATTTTCGGGGTCTAAATAGATATTACCTCTTTGACACACCACCTTAACTAGCTACAGATGTGTATGGCCTGGGCTTAATAATTCTTTCGAGTAGTTTCCAGCGATGTCGTTTTTCCTTGTACTTTTTTCAAAGAAAATTATTTGCTAAATAACATCATTAGAAAATCATATGTTTTTTATTGATTGTAATTATACATTTATATACTTATATACAAATTTGCATTTGAATAAGAAAATCAAGCTGAGAAATTTTTTCTCCCATAAAAAATACTTTTTTTTAATTTTTCTCGCAATAAATGCTACATTTCTAAGGAGATATGGTGATTAAAAATTTAAAGCCATTGAAACTGACATATTGTTTTAAATATCATAAATACATATGTATGTATATATACATACTTATGTATGCCTTCAAGTCCAAGTACATCGTTGCTGAAGAAGAAAAAAAACCATAATTCTTTACACTTTCCACACAATAAAGTCGGCAAGTACTCAAACCTACCTAGACATAAAAATATTTGCAATAATTTTTTGAAGGTCTACACTAACATTTTATATTTATGTTTATGAATGTAATATATTTATCATAAATTTCTCACTCAAATAATAACTGTTTATGCGCTTTAACAATACTTTTATTTTTATTTATTTATTTTGTTGTTGCATTAATGTGCATATCTGCCCGTAAAAGTGAATGTGTGCAATTGAGCATGCAAGGTGTCATCATTTACCGTTTAATGGCAAGCATTAATAACTTATTATGCTGAGTATGATATGAGCGACTAATGATTTTTTTCCATTTTATATGGCAATAGATTTTAAGATGCCTTTAATGGTTTAACTTGACGGTGTTACACTGATACCAGCTTACAGTTGTTAAGTATCTACATAATATAAGCTCTAGGTTTCACCGCTTAAGATAATAGTTTAGCTAATTAACATTTATGCATGCATATACTTAAGTCTCGGTTTTTTCTTTGTTCAAAGGCCAAACAGTGTAATAATTACATGAAATCGTTTAGTTTTATAGCAAATAATTTTGTAAATTTTTTTTTTTTGCTATAAATCCAGTTTTGATTGATAGGAAAACTTTTGTCTATAAGATCATAAAAAAAATTATTGAAAAATATTAAAATTAATATAAATACATGTGCACATATGTATGTGTGCTTGTAAATAGGTGCATTTGTACATACATACATATGTATATGAGCATACTTGTACTAATTTAATGTGTTTCAAATAAAACCGCCATTCAATACTATATATGCACCATGAACAGAAAACTGCAAAGACTGCACAGCACTACTGTTAGGCCGCTGTTGGTGTACTGTTACTGCATACGACGCGCTGTTAAATCCTTTACATTTGCACAGCACGGCTGTAAACCGACTCTCTGTGAATAATAAGCGACGCAGTTGACTTCCCGCCGCAGCTGACTTCTTCGCTGCTTTTGCTCTTTCACAGCCACACACACATATATGCATAAGATCTCATACTCTCTTTTTCTCCCTACAATTGGCACGCTCAAAACTTGTTTTTGTTGACTTACTTGCGGTTTTATATTCCGTATACAATTAACTATTAAAAGAGTGTGAGTTGAAAATATAACAACTACATATACCAATGTGCACTACAATGAGAAATACCAGCAACAAACCGTAGTAAATGACATCGTCTCATCGTTCATTGTAACAAAGACGACGACGACGACGCCGACACCGGCGATGAGAACGACAACGATACAGTGTAGCATTTGATTGGCTCGATTAACACAATCAGAGCACCGTTATTACAAGCGTAGCGTAGACAACAACGATAACAACAACAACAAAAGAAGGGGTAACACTGAAAGCAACAACAAGAAATAGCGATAAGCAAATAAGGCATTTTAAAACAACAGCGTCAACTGTTAGAGGCGAGTAGAAGGAGGAGCAGCAGCAAATGAAACGAGTGAGAGTCAATGGATGGATGAGCGCATAATTTTATTTAACATTGTTTTTGTTTACCTCGTTTATATATATATTTACAAATTTTCTGTGCAAAAGAATTTAAATTATAACAAATGGCAGAAGAAGGGATAATGGATGCACAAAAAATATAAAAAAATTTTAAATAAAATTAAAGAAATATGTATATATAATTTTTTTACATTCGGCATTCAAATGAATTATCTACTAGTGTTTGTTTAAATTTTTATCTCATATAATTTTTAATATATCTCCTTAATTTTCTTTCAAACTCATATGCAGGCCGTTAGTTTCTTTAAAATCAAAAATATATAAAATCAATATCCCCGCTCTTCTACTCAAAATGTGTATCAAATAGTCGGCAAGGAGTTCATTAGGACTGCAAAAGCCGTCGGCATTTGCGCGCGGTTTTTTTTTGCAAAGCCCAGAAAAAAACTCAACCAACGGCGTGCTTGCTGCTAAGCTGTCGATCAGTTTGGCACTCAATACTATTTTACGCTCCCATCACCCCATTTTTTCAATGTATGCAATCCAGTGCGGCAGATTTTTTCTTCCATTTTTTTCCACACTGCAACGTATGTACGTACATATATACATGTACATACGCTCCAACAAGCGTGAGTGAGTGAGCAGGCTTGCTGTTGCTCATGCTGTCACTCAAGCTCACACTCTCTTTCTCTCTCGCTCCCTCTCTCTCACTCTGCATACAGTAAACTGTGTTGCTTTGTTGCTTGGTTATTCACATTGCCCGCTGACGCTGACAGTTTATTGCCATCTCAGGTGATCTTATTTACTT